CTTTGAGCTGCAACAGCTCTCATATTACCTGTTTGCATCAGTCACGTGATAAATCTTAACTTTAAGTCACGTGATCAAATCCCAGATTTATGATTGTAAGGGGGTTTACACGGAACAAGTGGAACGAATCGAGATATGTGTTAAGTGAGTAGACTGGTTAAAAAGTGGAGGAACGGTACCATTATTCTTTACAATTCCTTTCACCTTTGTTAGGGGAGAAGCAGTGGCTGTTTTTGTTTTTGATTTTCGATTGAACATGAAAATTTATTCCCGACATTTCTATATTTTGGCATCACACTCCTTTAGTCGATAAACATTTTCATTTAATTCGATGTTTTTCTTCCATTGCCATACAATTTTGTAGCTAATATTTCTTTGATCAAGGGTCACTAATTTAGTTTCACCAGACAATGAACTTAACAGACTCAACAGACTCCACCGCTGCTCGGGCACTCAATGACTTCCTTCCATTTGTCTTCTTCCGCTATCTCCCTCCTCCCAATCTCACGCTCGCGGTTTATATCATTATCCAGAACTCAATGGTTATTTATCATTACCTCAAAGACTGGAAAAGACTGTCGTCCTTCCTTTTCCTTATGATTGCTGCCGTGGACATTGGAAGTGCTTGTTCGGCAATAGCCCGGGGTTCAATACACCTTCTGTGCGTCTATAACCTTGACAGGGCGATGCCATTTCTTGTATATGTGACGATCATCATGTGTGGTAATCTGTGCTACGTAACCTCTATATTCTTTGGAATGGTACTGACGGTTGTGAAGACGATAAATATAATAAACCCGTTCTATAGGATTCGTGAGGGTGCTTTAAAATTGTGCCTTGTTTTATTTTCGTTCTTTGGCCTAGTTTTATCCGTGAGTGATACAATTTTTACGAATTTAAAATGGGGCGTAATATTCAACAAATGTAAAGACCAGCTTTTCTCTTGGGTTGGTGGCGGTATCATAGAGTTAGCAATTGGAACCGCTACACTGGAAAAAATAATAATTAGTTCGTCTGACAGAATTGTTTTGACAAATCTCAACATTTGGGGCATAAATTAGCTTGAGTTATATTTACCGTGTTTAATTGTATTTGTTTGTATGATTTTACAAATAGTCCACATCAGAAGAGCCTTCAGAAAAAGTGCAGACCCGCGACAAAATGTTGCAAACCATGCCACTATCACAGTATTCATGATATCCTTGTTGTACCTATCCAGCAATTCAGTTCACCTTTGCTCCTTAATAGCTTTTTACGCTCTATGTTTTGTAAAGGAAGGGTCGGCTAATGAAATACGGCTGATATCATGGTTCACCCTATCACTGGTAAATGCTGCACTGTTCCCAACCGTCCTGATCCTGCGTAAAGCCGAGCTGAGAGCAACTTACAGAGGTTACATATCCACTTTTCTACATCTACCAGTCACTGTCTTCCATAACATTAGTCACAGATTCGGAGGGTACACAGAAATTTAGAACGGAAATATCTGAGAATTAACACTAAACACGGACCTTCGTGGAAAGAAAAACTTTTCAGATCAGATACTTTGAGAGGTGGTGAATTTATCAATAACTTCAAGAAAGAACAAAAAATTAGAATTATTGTTTCAACGAATAATCCGATAAATTGTCAACTAATTCACGTGTAATTAATTCAAGACTTTAAAAGACAAAAAATTTAAAAAATGTTTGAAATTCATAAATAATTTTATACTGATGACTTGTGATTGTTTTTATAGCTTTAAAAATATTGAAATAGACATGAAAATATCAATATTTTAAAAATATTGTTACGATGACGAGCTCAAGTGGTTGATTTACACATTTGCACCTTTTAGTACAGTGAACTTAGAGAATTTTTAGTGAATAACGATTACTTGAGATTGATTTTTTGAAGTTAAAATATAAAATTTAAAAAATATTAAATTTATGAAGTTAGTGTATGTTGACGAGTGATCGATTATAACTTTTTTACCGTGTTTTTTTATAATAGACATTGAAAAATATGCTTTGTACTCATGAATTGTGATCGATATTGAAGTTTAAATATAATATAAATTTTAAAACATGTATATCAGGTGGTATTGTATAACATTTGGTACAGAGTGGAACGAAAAATCAGTAAAAATATACTTCCTTCTTTAAAATAATTCAGGCTTTCAAGAGTCAGGACTTATGTATAGTGTATACTACGGTAATTTTATGCGTGTGCTACGTTCTGAGAAAAATACTCGTCAGGGGTACAGAGTTAATTTTATATCATTTTCCATGTTATTAGACTTAATTACTGTTTTTATTGAACGAGTTTTATTTCGTTAAAAATTGACAAAAATAAAATAAAAGACTTCAAAACAACTTTGCAGACAAATTGAATTAACTTGTCCCGCTTTTGAATTATTCAAATATTGAGTTGTGGCCGGACTTTTTGATCACCCTGAATATTAAATTGTAATAAGAGTGGAATAGACAGAAATAAAAATAAAAGGAACATAGACATGGCGTGCATATTGAAGTAAGATAGTCGAAAAATAGCATATATTTTTAAGTTTTAGCAATCCGATCACTTTTACATAACCTGGCGCCTCCCGCTCTATTTTACGTATAACTGATATTTATAATGATCACGAGCTTGTTACAATCTACATTCTACAGCTTTACCTTAACAGTTAACATTTCTTGTGACGCGATAGTTCGTCACAACTTAGTTTCCAATAATAAATTATAAATCAGCTTACTCAAGTTTAAATTTGAGCCGCAACAGCTCTCATATTACCTATTTGCATCAGTCACGTGATAAATCTTAAGTCACGTGATCAACTCCCAGATCGTTGATTGTAGGGAAGTTTACACGAAACTAGTGGAACTAATCGGGATATGTTAAGTGAGTAGACTGGTTAACAAGACATACTTACTGTCGGGACACGGTACCATTATATACAATTCGTTTTACCTTTGTTAGGAGAGAAAAACAGGAAGCAGTAGCTATTTTTGTTTTTGATTTTAGATGAAAAACTATTCTCGACATTTATATATTTGGAATTGCAATCCTTTAGGCGATACAAATTTTCGTTCAATTCGATGTTTTTTTTTCATTGCCATACAATTTTGTAGCTAATCTTTCTTTGATCAAGGGTCACTAATTTAGTTTCACCAGGCAATGAACTCAACAGATTCAACAGACTCCACCACTGCTCGGGCACTAAATGACTTCCTTCCATTTGTCTTCTTCCGCTATCTCCCTCCTCCCAATCTGACGCTCGCGGTTTATATCATTATCCAGAACTCAATGGTTATTTATCACTACTTCAAAGACTGGAAACGACTGTCGTCCTTTCTTTTCCTTATGATTGCTGCCGGTGACATTGGAAGTGCTTGTTCAGCAATAGCCCGGGGATCAATAAACCTTCTGTGCGTCTATAACCTTGACAGGGCGATGCCATTTCTTGTATATGTGACGATCATCATGTGTGGTAATCTGTGCTACGTAACCTCTATATTCTTTGGAATGGTACTGACGGTTGTGAAGACAATAAATATAATAAACCCGTTCTATAGGATTCGTGGGGGTGCTTTAAAATTGTGCCTTGTTTTATTTTCGCTCTTTGGCCTAGTTTTATCCGTGAGCGATACAATTTTTATGAATATAAATTGGGGCGCAGTATTCAACAAATGCCAAGACCAGCTTTTCTCTTGGATTGGTTACGGTATCATAGAGTTAGCAATTGGATACACTACACTAGAAAAAATAATAGTTAGTTTGTTTAAACACAGAAGTCTTTTGAGAAATTCAAATCTCATCACTTGGGGCGTAAATTCGCTTGAGTTATATTTACCTTGTTTAATTGTATTTGTTTGTATGATTTTACAAATAGTTCACATCAGAAGAGCCTTCAAAAAAAGTGCAGACCCGCGACAAAATGTTGCAAACCATGCCACTATCACAGTATTCATGATATCCTTGTTGTACCTATCCAGCAATTTAGTTCACCTTTGCTCCTTAATAGTAGTTACCGCTCTGTACGGAAAGAGATGGGACCGAGATGAGTCGGCTAATGAAATGCAGCTGATATCATGGTTCACCCTATCACTGGTAAATGCTGCACTGTTCCCAACCGTCCTGATTTTGCATAAAGCCGAGCTGAGAGCAACTTACAGAGGTTACATATCCACTTTTCTACATCTACCAGTCACTGTCTTCCATAACATTCATCACAGAGTCGGAGGGTACACAAAAATTTAGAACGGAACTATCTGAGAATTAACACTAAACACGGACCTTCGTGGAAAGAAAAACTTTTCAGATCAGATACTTTGAGAGGTGGTGAATTTATCAATAACTTCAAGAAAGTACAAAAAAATTAGAATTATTGTTTAAACGAATAATCCGATAAATTGGCAACTAATCCACGTATAATCAATTCAAGACTTTTAATTAAATTTTTAAAAATGTTTGAAATTAATTAATCATTTTATACTGATGACTTGTGATTTTGTGTGTTTTTGTAGCTTTAAAAATATTGAAATAGACATGAAAATATCAAATTTAAAAATTTGTAAATGATGACGAGTGGTTGATTTAAGCATTTGTGCCGATTTGCTTACAATAGACATTATATATTTTGTACTCCAGACTTGTGATTAATTTTGAAGTTAAAAATATTAAATTTGAGAAGTTCAAATATAGTGAGTTGTGGTCTTATCTTGTTTAGAGCGAAAGAAAGAAGTTCAAATACATTTTAAAACTTCAACACTTAATTTATACCTTCTTCTTGTGCATAATGTAGGGCTAATTAATAAATTGTTAAATTTTTTTCTGCTTTGTTAGACTTATTTACTATTTTTTGAACTTACCGACTTTTATTACGTTAAAAATACAACTTTTCTTAAATCATGTTGGGAGTGGAACACATTGAAAAAATACAACAAATGCCTCATACTTAATAGACGAAACAAAACGATCCAAAAAGAAGCTGGCACAGAATCAAAAAGGCTCTAACTTACATTTTCACTGACACTTGACAGGACATCGTGGCTAGGAGTTCCGCACACCTCCAGAATTCTCATCAGTTGGTGAATATAATCGTCTCCTCGGTACAGGATCTTGTTCGTCAACATCTCCACCATTATACACCCAACAGACCAAATGTCCACTGGGAAACATGACGTTACACGTGGCCGAAGCCCGAAATCTTAACTTATTAGTAGATTTTAACTTATTTAATCATGACTTATTAAATGTTAACTTATTAATAGCGAACAGGAGATTTGTGATTCGATAGATTTACGAACACGATGATAAAAGTGCCAATATCTTAACTTGTTATTTAAATAATTTGCAATGTGAGAAAATTTATACAGGGTGTTTCATAACTAATGTCCTGATTTTTAAAACAATGAAAATATTTATAAAGGAGCAAAAAGTAATACTGACTAGTTTTGCTGTAGTGCATCCAGTTCAACATGACTTCAGGGGCACGGTACCATCGTGTTGCCACATATCCCGTCATCTGATCGTCCTGAACTCGTGCCAACCCAAAATCTAATATCTGGTGGAGGAATGTTATGTAATATTATGTAATGTTATGTAATATTATCGTTGCATAAGTGTATGTAGTTAATTGATGTGTTTTACAGCTCGTTATGTAATCAGGGCGACAAGCTTGATTGTGGCTGGAGGGTATTCGTAGTCCCTAGAATAGCTAAAGAATGTTTTTTTAGTACATGTTCTAAGAAATCCTAGCAATAATTTCAAACACAATTGATCACACAAGTGAATAATATTTCAATAATTCGAGTAAAGTTGAATGTAAGAACTACTGACGTGTTCGAAGTATTTATGCGTACTTTGCAGTGTGACTTACATTCCACATATGTCTTCAAATGGTCAGGAATTTGACATTCAAGTTGACAGTGCGGTTAAAATTAATTAAATATTACATGAGATGTCATAAACCTCGATTCTTATGAAGATAAATGTAGCGGGGCTCTGACCAATAACATTGGCATTATTTCACGGGTTATTGAGCTAATAAATTCAAGTTAAAGAATTCTAATTATTCTAATTATTCTAAGAATTCTAGTAAATCACATTAAAACAAGAATCCTTACCTTTACATAGCAATCCTCGTTAATGGCAATGTTGCTAGGTTTCAAATCTCTGTGTATCACTCCGGCTGAATGCAGGTACTTGAGCCCACGCAGAATTTGGTATATAATCCACTGAACATGCCCGTCTGACAGCTGCTGGTATTTCAGGATTGTGTGCAGGTCGGATCCCATCAGATCAGTTACAAGGTACCTGTTACAAAGTATCAGTTACAAGGTACATGTTACAAAGTATCAGTTACAAGGTACAATGTGTCTGTGTGTGTGTAGTTATCAGGGTAGTGTGGTAGTAATTTAGCTATTTATATTGGGTCAGAGTTGAAGCATGTGTTCATGGTTTACACAGGGCACACATTGTTCCCCAATTCTGATTGTTTATCCTGAATATCAATATTAATTGTTACTTATAATTAACAATAAATAATTATCTATATCGGGTGCTAACCGAATCTCTACACTTCAACCCAAATAAAGTCTAAATGACTAAATCTAGTAAACGATCGAGATTGTACTGAACTAAGGTATAACAAGAGTTACGGTTGCACATAATCACACCAGTACGGTCAGTGTTATACCTGTATTACATAGATAATAGAACACTTACACATCTTGGAAATCAGAATACTGTGTCGAGGGAGTGAACACATCCAGCAGACTAATTATCTGGATTATTGAGTGTGTTACAATCACAGCTGTTATAAAACAGAACTTTACAACACAAGATTTGACACAATGAAAGAGTTCCGGCTGCTGATAATGATGTTAAGTACATCATATCCTGCTTGGCTGCTTGTGTTGCTGTTCAGGATCAGCTGCTATAGAAATTTAAAATGTGATTTGAATACGCACGAATGTGAGATACATTTTTTAAATGTTGCCACTACGCTCACAACAACGCTTACAATATACTGTTTATACATTTTTTTACTACACTGAAGGTATTTTGACAAGTGATACCTGCCAAAATGTGCTTTATTCAATCTTTAACCTGTCCATAACCTGTTCAAAACCTTTCGTTAAAATTAGACTAGGTTCAATTTGTCAAGATACCTCACTCGAAAATAAAAATACAGCTCACGTTTTCGTGACAGAGCTGTTTAAGTAGTCTGTATTCCCTGTACGCTCTCTTAGCATGTATGTCAGATTGGAACGGCCGAGAGAGCTTTTTGACAGCAACTGACATCTTGCCTTGAGTATCTTTAGCAGAACTGAAGTTCATTAATCTAATATTTTACTTAATGTTATTCCTAATTAACAGAGAGACGAATTAATTAAGATTTAAATTTTTTGATTAAATCTCAAACGAAATGAATTATTACAGTTCATTTATGTTTTATGTAATCCATTGGTAAGTTTTAGAGGTTAGACTTAGTGACCACTTATTCAATGCTGACTTATTCAGATGTTAAATGATAAATTAAAATGAATAACAGCTTACCAAACTTGACCATATGCCCCAACTCCAAGGGGCTGTGGTTCTTGATAATTGATAGGCATTTCCCATGTTGTTCTGAGCAGCTCAACCTTGTGAAATCCAGGTGCACAAACAGAGGCCCCTTCTGTTACTTCCATGATCTCACTAATAACATTAATAATAAGTTTCAACGTAGAAAAAAGTTCCTCTGAATAGTTATTGAATTTTAGTTTGAAAAACATTGACTGTGATTAAAGTTCTACCAATAATGTTCAAGATATGTGGGCTGAATTACATGGTAAAGTGGATGCTGTTTATGGGGCTGTTCCGACTGCTTCGGTTTATCTCGACACAGGGGTGTAGGAAGCGGTGGGGGGGGGGACCAACCCTCAGAGCTAGAGAAATCTTGGCAATGGGCGAAAAGGGGACAATCTTTTTGACAGTTTTAAAGATATTTCTCGGATAAATGTGTAGTTTTACCATCTGCAGCTAAGTTATCTGCAGTACAGTTAGAATACGTGCAGCTAAGGGGCGAAAAGGTGCTAACTTGTTTGCCTCATCTGGTCCCTTTGTTTAGAAAATTATTAATTTTTAACACTTTCAAAGAAAATTCTCGGATAACTTTGTTGTTTTACCACCTGCAGCTAAGTCATCTGTGATACAGTTAGACTATGTGCAGCTAAGTTATCTTTAGTGCAGCTGGACGTAGACACTAGACTATCTGCTGCACCCACAATAGGGACCATAATTTTTTCCAATTATGTATAGATTTATCATTATTATTATCATCTGCAGTGCAGTTAGAGTTCGACCATCTGCAGCCACGGTTGCTGAGTGTATTTGGAGTAACTGCAGTGTAGTTGGAGTAACGGATGATGATTAATCACTCTACACTCGACTGTCACTTGACTTTTTCAACCCGTTCTCTAGCTGGCCCTAAACGACTATTCGAAACCCTAACCCTCTTATCTGGTCATAACCCTAACCCTAACCCAATCCTTAACAAAAGCATATGCTGAAACCCTAACCCTAACGAGAAACGAGACTAACTTCCTTATACGGTCATATCACGTGATCGAGACAGTTTTTCGCCAATATCTCGCTAGGGGAGCATTTTAACCCTATGTCATGGGGGGTTATTCGGAATCAGCGTCCGAAAATACATTAATTTAATTTGGTTTCAACTGTCGGGGCCCCTTTAGAACAATCTCGAAGATCGACTGTAGAGTGATTTAGCACACTCGTGGAGTAACTGCAGTAAATGTGTCTACGTAACAGTGCAATTAGACCATTTGCAGACTGTCTGCACAGTCTATCTGCCCAAAAATCACCCCTTGTAGTCCAAATTTACATTTTTCATTGTTAGTATTCATGTGTGAAAATGGCCACGGGCCTAAATATTACATATCAATCAATTACAATTCATTAACATTACCAATATTAAAAACTGTCCAAAATATCTAAGAAAGTATTCTCTAGCCAAAGGGCTCAATACTTAAATCTAAATCTTCAATATTTATTCCTTACATCATGTTTTCCAAAATTTTGTCCAGGTTCTTTCTCATTCCATCCGTTTGTAGATCGACTACTGTAAGCATAATTTAAAAATTTCTAGCACTAAATTGGCACAACAAAATTTTGCTGTATTTATCATTTCTCATTGCCGGATTTTCATCCTGATAGCAGATACACTGTAATTTTTTAAGGCTACAATGTGCAGTTTTTTTCTTGTTCGTTTTACGAACAACACTTGTTTCGCAAGAACTGCTGGCAGGTCCTAATATGCATAAAATCGTTGTATCTTACTGGGCGGCGCTCAGCCTGTCATTCCGCCGAATCTTTATGTTTATGAACATAATAGCCTGGGGTCCCCAGGTAACGTTTTATCTAAATCTAAATCGGGCTAAACTGTCAAACTGTGCTAGAAAATTATTTCTTTGACAAGCTGTGTGCCATTATATTAATACTTACACTTACACTCAGTGTACACCCAGTGTTAACTAGTATTACACACTGGTAAACTCTACGTAACGCGCGAAAATAATAATTCTATGGCGTTTTCATTGTCACATCTCACGTCGACGGGATTAAACGCGCGCGCGCATAACATCTTATCTTACTGCTATCTCAACGAATAAACACACAACGACTTTGACAATTGACAGACGACTTAACGATTGTGAGTTATGACGGACTTAACTGTATGGGTCAACTACTGAAACTGTATTGTATACTATCTTAATCATTATACTGGACATGAGATGACGAAGTATCTTAAGCAGCACTTTATACCTCCACTTAGAACTTGATTAGTCACGAACAATAGAATCATTATAAATCAATACAATAAAACATCTTGATCAATAAATGCCTAGCAGCACCAGACAGCAGCCGTGTACCTTTTTCGACTCCACGGAGTCCCTGATGGACTTTTGTTTACTTTTGTTAACAATTTGACCGCAACCTTCCTTTCTCGAAACATAAATCCTACTGTACTTCATTACAGTATTAAGATAATATAAAGCAAATCATGTGAATATATGACTACGAAATAGATCTAAAGATTTGTCCATAATATTTAATACCGTATTGATGGTTTTGAATTTTGTATATTGAATTTTAATGTGAAGCGTTTACTCTTCCCCCTCGGCAATTAATTAGAAAGTTAGATTAATGACAATAATTGCCAAATGACGTAGTAGATATAGATGTTCAATGTTGTAGAGTGATTTCAAGAGTAGTGGTCCACAGGGGTCCGAAAAAGCCGTACAGGCACTTGGGTCCTTATCCTTGTCACTAGTCCCAATTGGATTCACTTTACACAAAACATGAACGTTTACAATTTAGACGTACACATTGGCACGATATTTATTAGAAAGCAAACAGTATAAAATAATACGTGCGTGCGCGGCTTGAGCCGCGCCACATAACAATTTATGCGTTTAGGGGCTGGAGTACGTGTGTTTACAGATTAATGAATTGTTGCATTGTAAATATTTAAAGTTGACGATATATTATGATTTAACAGTAAATTTTTCAAAGCTGGCTTTGGACTTAGGTAAAATTATAACTTATTTATTTAAAAGAAAAAACCACGGATAGTTTTAAATTTACTTAGTCGTATTATATATATAACTATAATCAAGTTAATCCTGTTTTCAAGAATGCGCGGCTTTGGCGGCCAGTTATTGACTTGTACATAAAATTGAATTTTAAATAGAAATGTGAATGTATTAAAATTTAAACTTTCAAAACGGAGGCTTATAAATATTATTATATTATGATTGTAAAATAAAGGATAAAATTTTAAATTTGTTTCATGTTTCACTAAAAATTTGTTTCACTTAATATCATTTCGCTTATGGAATTTTGATAGGATGCATCTTTTGGTCATCCTGCATAACCTTCAACTTTTTTCAGGCAATCCATGCGCGTCTTTTTCGTTGTCATATAAATAATAAATTAAATTTGGCGCTCACAGGTCCTCGTGATCATGTGATCACCGCATAATGTTCTGTGAATGCGCAGGGCACCTTCAAGCTTAAATTATTCACCATGCTGAGGCAGTCAACCAACGCGCGGCTTTATTTTTATGATATGATATGTTTTGATTGTTATTAATAAATACCAAAATTTAAATTTGTTTTACTAAAAATTTGTTTTACTAATAGTAAACTAGTGTTTCACCTAACCATGTGCTTTCGCGCCACTGCGGGCGCGCTTGTTTCACAAGTCAAGAAAAGACTGCCGTGAGGCGGGCGCGCGCTACTGCAAGCGCAAGGGCTCTGGATAGAGCAAAACTAGTGTGCTTAACAAAATAAACACAAAAGCCAACTTCCCTGATCCCCAAAATCCATTTTGTCTGCAAAAGCGTTCATTAGTATCCTTTCACTCAATTTTTATAAAATTTAATGGTGAACGGAAAAAAATTAAAAATGCGCGGTGTAGCGCGCGGTTCTTCGTAGCACTTGTTTCGGGTTTCACCTAGCCATGAGTCTTCGCTACTGCAAGCAAGAGGGCTCTGGATAGAGCAAAGCTGTAATTATAACTATAAGACTTCGCCGTGATCAATTTCATGAACAAGACTATGCCGACCAAAATTTAATTTAAAAAACATTATTTCAAAAAAAAGTAGTAAATTTTATTAATTGACGATGTCAATTCATGGCAGCTCGGCGCGGCACAGTAACGCATCGCGCTACAATTTACCTGGGGACCCCAGGCTATTATGTTCATAAAGATTTGGCGGAATGACAGGCTGAGCGCGGCCCAGTAAGCTACAATAAATTTGATTGAAAGGAACATGATTATTTTTTCAGTGGCTCAACCCATATAATATGCCTATTTCATGATACTATGCGACTAGTTGCGATTAACAGGTGGTACTCGTGATTCGTAAAATATTTGACCATTGTTAATGGTTTGGCCCGGTGCGCGCTACTTCGTAGCTCGTGCCATCGAATAGAAAGCGGCGCGCGCTACTTCGAAGAAATTTAGACGAGTTAAGTAACATCATATCCGTCTGCAAGTAAAATATATGTTTCAAATATATTATCAGGACCGTCGACGAGTCTTGTAGCGCTATGCACTACTGGGTCGCGCCGCGCATCAAATAATTCTTCTTCGGTAGATCGGCAAGTTGCGCCACTGTGCCTCACCGAGCTGCGAAGGATTGACATCGTGAATCAACGACGAGTCCAACTCGGCGCGCGTCCTGGTAGGTCATAAACCTACAAGTGTCATGTGGTATTTATAGTTGACTTATTAATTGGTTGCGGGTGAAAAAATTAGTCAAACTTGTAAAATGTCGGTCCTGGAAATTTCATTTTCAAAAACTGAAAATCAAAATGGGACAGAGATTGGGACAATATGATTTTGCAATTTTATTTAGGGTTTTGACCCCCAGTAACCCAATATTTTGGTTTCATACCATCATCAATTAACTGACTAATTGGTTTCTGGGCAAAAATCTCATCTAATCTGTCAAATTTGTGTTCAGAAAATTTCATATTTGAAATGGGAATCTTAATCATATTCATACTATAGCAATTAAACTAAAGCGATCGTCAGGAACTTGTTTCAGTTTGTTTGTTTATAGAACCCGTCCCAATCTCGTATCGGAAAATGACGAAACTCAATTCTGAGTGTGAATACGGGTGGTACCTGCAACGGTTGCAAGAGTGTTCATTTGGGAGGGGCGCCAGCCGCCAGCAGGGGGGGGGGGCGCATTTTTGGCGGGGGCGCCAACAGGCAACGTTACGCCACTGGCTGGCAAGCACGACCGTTGCTGTTAGTGTTATAAACACAGGCGGGGCTAAGTGCAAAGAAACTGCTGCTCACTGCTGCTCACTGCTGCTCACTGCTGCTCACTGCTGCTCACTGCTGCTCACTGCTACTAACTGCTGCTCACTGCTGCTCACTGCTGCTCACTGCAGTGAGCAGCAGTTAGTAGCAGTGAGCAGCAGTGAGCAGCAGTTAGCAGCAGTGAGCAGCAGTTTCTTTGCACTTAGCCCCTCCTGTGTACACTTTATACTATTACTAGAAAGACCGTGTTCACAGGGAGGAAGGTAATAGTATTCTTTGGTAGTCATTTTTTATCGTATCAAAAAATATCCGTCACAACCGAAGATACAGCCGATTAAAATGTAGATTGCAATGAACACATTAACGTAATTACCACAAAACCGATCAAAATAAAAAATGTCGCTCGCAAATATTTGCACGTGCACGTGCACGTGCACTTTTGAACACCGTTACCATGGTTACTATGCAGCTCAGCTTCCTATCTAAATCATTTAGTAAATGTTGGGCTAGTAATACTACAACACCTGCAACATCACACAACTTACTTCTAATTGTATGTATAAATTATATTTCAGTCATTTTAGTGATCCTTATTTCGTATTAATTTTATCTTTACTCGCAAAACGCACAGTGAATACCCCCACCCCTATAAATCCGCCCTCTACTCGTCAAACCGCCCTATCAAGGTCAAAAGGAAATCGTGGAACGTGCAGAATCACGATTTTTCCCATTCTCAAATCCTCGTGAGTCGTGACAAATCGCTATTTTTTCAGTTCTCCGTGACAAATTGCGCATATCAATCCGAGGGCCAAATATCACGTTCTTTATAATAAGCATATGGAACCGATCACATCCACAGCCTTCCGAATGTAGGTACGGACTTGAGAAGACCGAAAAAATTTTCGTCTCACAATGATCAGGGTAGCATGAACCATGAACAAAAGTAGTTTCCAGAAAAACTTTGAAAAAAAGTCGACTTAAATTTTCGGTTTGAGTCATTCTTGATAGGTACTTCGATGGCAAAGCTCCCGCTTCCGAGCTCGTATTGCAATTAAGGGAGGAAAAAGGGTGAATCTTGGCAAATGAATATTAACTTGTCAAGCTGGATCGCAATCCCTCGATAGATTGAAATTCAGTTACTTTAGCAGTGACGAGCTTCTTTTTTATGTTTCCTATTTAGCTGTCCTAGTTACTTTTACTTTGGTTACTTTGGTGTGCTTCATAGAATCCTCTATCGGGTCATCAGAGTTGCTGACCACCCGAACAGTGAGATCGCTGCCTTTATTCCACTCCAGTCCAATAACGAGTTTCCATTTCGACAGCTATATCCTGTCACTGGAGGCTCATCCGGGAATGATTTCACAAACGTTGTAAGCATTTCTTTAAAGTGCAGGGGGTCTTTGATAGCATGCATGTTTGGTGGGATTAAGATCCACAATCGAGGTCCAATTACTGCAAACGAATTGTCGAAGACTTCCATAAGGGGCAACAGCTCTCGAGATGGTTTCTGATGAGAGGTTTCTAAATGGTCAACATGGTGACTTTGTTCCTCGTTTTAAACACACTCAGAACCCAAGCAGCAACTTTACGAGCACGTTCGGCTATAAGGGTAACGTGGGGGCTCAGCTGAAACCATCATTAGTCATTACATTCCTTGTCGAGAAAAACCTTACTTTAACACTAACAGAGACCACATTATTGAATGTTGAGGTAAGTCTCAGGCATGGCTGGTGGTCAACCCAAAATCCAAATTTCAACAGTTAAGAACCTGAATAATTTGCTAACTTTCGACGCATTAATATTTTGGGAAAAGTGCAGTGTGCCGTGGACCTTACAACATCGAATATTTTGAAGAAGTCGTTATAATTGTTGACAATATTGCAACATTTGGTGACCTCCTAACTCGGTCGACAAAGTTTATTGACAAATTTTTTTTCTCAGTGACACTGCTTGTTGAAGTCTCGGTGACGGGGAATAAATTACAGGCACGTAGCCAGGGGGGGGGGGGGGGGGGGGCTAGGGGGGCGGCAGCCCCCCCGGAAAAATCGAACCCCAGAAAAAAGATAAGCCCCCTAGTCCCCATGGTCGCCTGGTAACTGGGCTGTGTTTATGACTGCAGTCAGTCAAAGATTTGAACTGTGGATTAGTAAATATATGTCATTAAATCCAAGCAAACATTCTAGAAGACTTCTATAATTATAGTCAATAGTGTCCCCTAGACCGTAGGAAATGTAAAAATCTTAAGACGATGAGGCCTGAGTAAGTCGTAAATTCTGATTGGAGAATGCAGATTGCTGTTGTGAAGTTACCAAATTTACGTGAGTACTTGATTCTTTTCAATCCCAGTTGCTGTCCTACAAATTTCTTTAATGCCAAATGTCGTCTAAAACACCCTGTTTCGCAAAAAATTTCCGGGGGGCTGCGCCCCCCTAGCCCCCGCCAAGGGGCTCCGCCCCTGGACCCCGCTGGGGGCTGCGCCCCCAGGCCCCTGCCACAGCTTGCTCGCTTCGCTCGCTGCGCAGCTTGATTGGACGCGTCGGCTCGCTTCGCTCGCCGACAGCCCCCCTCAAAGAAAAATCCTGGCTACGTCCCTGAATAAATATCATAATTTTATTTGATGATGCACTCTGAAGTACTTATACGACACACATAGTTTACATTAGAGAAGATGTTTGTTGGAATAAAAAACTTTGTTTGCTAAATAATACAACTTTATTGAGATACGAGGACAACACAATAAAAGAGTAAGAAAATATTTTTTAACATTTTGACTTGAATATCTGACTGAATATCTTAGAAGATTGCCAGATATTCAAGTCAAAACGTTCCAAGCATGCTTTTTCAGTAGATGTGTTCTAGTCCGGTCAGTTATGGCAATTTACCTGCATTTCATAGTAGAGGGCTGATTTTGCGAGCTCTCAAAGGTCTTAAGAACCGAAAAAACTTCGGAGCTCTAAAATTCAGTCTGGGAAAATCGCCCATTTGGGCACGCCCATTTTTAGTACCAAAATGTCCAGGCACAATTTGAGAGAAATATATATATAATGTCATTCCTAACATGTTAGGGGTCTAAATCTATGTTTTTTTTGCACGACGAATCGATTGGCAAGGTTCTTAAAGTTCTAAAAAACTTTTTTTTTGCAAAAACTGAAGAAATAGTATTTTACGCGCCAAATTTTTCAGTCGCGATTAATAAAATTGTTCAAAATCGATTTCCTGAAATGTTTGGTATCTAAACCCATGTTTTTTTGTACGACAGGTCCGATATTGACAATTATTCGCAATGAGCACATTTATCTAAGACTTATGAATCATTATGTGCTCTAAAATGCTTATTTGTAGAAATAATGAGGTCTGATCGTCATCTTCTTACAGCGTTCGATGTCTGTGTGAAGGTAAAATGGTGATATCCTCTGGATCAGGCAGAGGTTGAGTGTTATCAGGATTATTTCTGTAGTAGTGGAACAGCAATACTAAGGTAATGGGACTACTGCGGAGTATTGCTGTTCCACTACTACAGAAATAATCCTGATAACACTCAACCTCTGCCTGATCCAGAGGATATCACCATTTTACCTTCACACAGACATCGAACGCTGTAAGAAGATGACGATCAGACCTCATTATTGATGATCCCGCTCGTCGGAGAAGATAAAGGCCTTGCTCAGCAATGGGTAGGGTTTGCAGTTTAGATAGCCATGTGGCACGCTGCAACTAAATTATTCGAGATTCTTCTCGAATAATTTTCAAGACTTGATGTCAACTTATTATCAGAGAAAAAGACGATTTATAAAGGAGCAACCTAACATTCTACCTACTCCTCATTTCTTAAGACGTCCACTACATGATGTTGCTCTACCAATTTGACTTATGTCCCTTAAGCGCTTTTAACTACCGTTCACCGAACCTTGACTGCGGCTTTGTTAACAAGGTTTGGCCGGTAGAGGGTCCGCAGTAGTCCCATTACCTTAGTATTGCTGTTCCACTACTATATTTGTAGAAATATTGGCAAAAATCGGTAATTTTGGCTACACCACTACAATTACAAATTTGGTAATTCGTTTTGTATTTTATTGCAAATTTTCACGTTGCAATTTTCAAGATGCGGTTTATGGCTATCGATAGGGCTTAATATGCTATTGTATGGTTTTGATACAATCCTTCAGCACCTGAAGGGTTTGCAAAAAATAAGTGTTTTAGAGCTTTAAGAACCTTGCCAATCGATTCGTCGTGCAAAAAAACATAGATTTAGACCCCTAACATGTTAGGAATGACATTATATATATATTTCTCTCAAATTTTGCCTGGACATTTTGGTACCAAGAATGGGCGTGGCCAAATGGGTGATTTTCCCAGTCTGAATTTTAAGGCTCCGAATTTTTTTCGGTTTGAAAGACCTTTGAGAGCCCACAAAAAATTTTTCAGCCCTCTACTATGATGCAGGTTTTGACCTGATTTTTACCATAACTGACTATAATAAACAACATATTTGTTGAGTATGAAGCCCCGGCTGATAAGAAGAACGCAGTAAGCGTCTGCAGGAAACAGCTGGTGTTGAACTTTATCTTACAACGCCGTCTACCGTCTTCAAACCCGCTTCTGAACTGATAAGAGAGTTGCATTTTTATAATTGAAACATAATAACTTATTGGTCACAATTACACTTTATAGATATATAATGAGTTATTTTGTGATAAAAGCTGGATGAAACTTCAAACTAAAATAACCGTAACTTACCTTAACTTAGTTCGAAGGTAAGCCAAGTTTGGTCCACTTGAAGCCTCTGCTGCCGCCCACTAGCTGAACTGAAATTGTGCACCGATTAGTTTTTCAAAACACCAGAACTGAATACAGTTGGGGGGGGGGGGGGGGCATATTTGTTTTTACACGTAACAGCCGTTTCTAGACGTGACAGCCATTCGCCAATCGGCTATCACGATTCAGGAGTAATGACAAATGCAGCTCGCCCGCCAATATCAAAGCTTCATAATCATTGGATTTCGTGCGGCACGCTAGCCCTCAACTACGTTCGGGCATTATCACTCGCAGCACTCAATAGCCATTAAGCCACGGTATTATGGTATTACATCATTCATGTATCAATTATCAAATAATCGATAGAATGATCAGTTCTAGTTTGTTTCAACTTTCAAGGCTTAATCGTAAATAGTATCATACCAGCGTTAGCTAGGTTTAATCTTTGCGCAGGGTATCTCCCAATTTCTTCATCGTCGAGGTAGACTTGATATTCATCAGCTGAGACTTTAATCGTAACTTTGAACTCTTTGCCTGCTTCAAATCTTTTGTTGTTGTAATTCACTCTGAAAATAAAGATATTTTGTTTTTTTTATTCGAAAAGTTGCCAGTAGTGTTAATAATATTTCATATTATTATTATTGATTTACACAAATTTTCAACAGCTGAATGGCAACTTTTCCAATATATTGCACCAAGTAAATAATGATAATAATATTGGCTTATAACTTATATGTTATAACAATATATTATAACTTATCGCAATGTCTGCATCATATACCTCTTCTCCCTTCCCCAATTTCCATATTTGCAGTTCATCACAAGTACGCCAAATCTAAAGTCCACATGAAGCAGGTTGATGTTCCGATCCGGTACCGCGACAATATTCACACTGAAGCCCTTAGTGGAAATCAGTAGCGGATATAAGTGTGACTATATGTATTGATATCGTGGATTAGATTCTGAAGTTCATTACAATTTCGTTTCATACCCGCATGGTATAAAAACATTGATTCATGGACAACATGTTGATTCTCTATAACGTGTATAACATGTATAACACGTATAATATGAACAAAATATACCTAAATTTTGAAGTACCATCCTGGTATACTCCCCAAGCGGTAATCTGGTTTCCTGGTTGAAGTGACGCCATATCGTATATCCCGCCCGATCTTGCGGCAATAAGAACTGGTTTATCTGAAGTATAAGGAAAAGTTATATGGACAGATACTAGTTTGTCAAATGACGTTTAATTATGTCGTATTAGCATGTCCAGGGCCAGAGCCCAGAAGGCATCATGTATTGCGTCGTTAGTGTTGCATAAATGTTTACGCCTGAATGACAAAGTTAAAATAGCTACAACTGTATTGTACCTGTACAAAGAGAGTCAGAAGAAGTGCCGTATACTTGAATTTCTGCTAGATTCCATGGACCGACTTTTTTCTCCTGACTTATCTCAATTACATTTCCGGTTCCTTCACAGTTAAAAGTGTATGAAGTTTTTGAACTGCTGATCTTACCACAATCTTTAACATAACTATTTCCTGCCTTTATGAAGATTGAAGCTCCAATAATCCTTTCTGTACAGCAATTGTGCCTGTTGTAGACGGTCACTTTAGTGACAAGAGAGCACTGTTCTAGATTTATGCGTATCCACATACCGTCTTCAGCTCCTAATGTGTGTGCGAAATTTTGTAGATTTCCATCGATGAGATTTGGAGGAGGGTATGATCCGAGCTGGTTCTTCATCTCTGCACTTGCAATGTTCAATCTGCCTACTTCTGAAATGGGCTTTAATTAGAAATTACACTCGCCCTATAAATATTATAATAAGTCCCTGCAGGGAATTAAATTTACCTTCCTAACATTAAATCGTTAATTTTATATCATTTTCCTTTTTCCTTTTTTAAATGCACCTGCTGAACTACTTTAGATAAGTCTTAATGCCTGAAAAACAATAAAGGGGATATAATAGTATATGGGGTAAATAGTATTGTGAATATAATGGCAACGGTAATGCTTGCCAGCATTGTGATATTTAGTTTTGCTAGCATTTAATTTAAGCCCCTTATTAGTAGCCCAATCAATCTGTGGTACTCTGTAGTTAAGTTTGAGGTGAGAGGACTTGCAGTTGTTTACGCTCACGTATTGCTCTCTATCGGTAAGATATGAATCAAACCAAGATAAAGCCAACCGCCGATCTCCATATAAGTGCTTAAGTTTTCTTAGAAGAATACTGCTGTCGACCATGTCAAAGGCCTTGCTGTAGTCCAAAAGAAGTAGCGCTGTGACCTGCTTTCTTTCTAATGCCCTGTGGATATGGTTTTGGGCTTCTAGTAAAGCATGTTCGCAGCTATTCCCCGCCCGAAATCCGTATTTAGAGTCAAATAGGATTTTCTCTGTCTTTAAGCGATCTAATAGTCGCGCTTGCATAATTTTTTCAAAGATTTTTGAGAAACATGAGAGTAGTGAGATAGGTCGATAGTTTGAAACTTCAGCACGTGACCCACCATGTGGAAACTTCCCCTGATGTAGAGATGCAGAGACTAGCCAGCTAAGCACTGGTGCTTAAGTATATTGCTCACTTTTTCAGGGGAAGTAAACTCATATCAGAAGTCGACTTAATTTTCAGACCCTTAACTATTTCAACTATTTCTGATGCGGACGAATCTTCTAGATTCATGCTCCGATGGCATTTGCTATCTTGAGTTTATGTTTTGAGAATCCGGCCCTCGGAGCATACGAGACCATTTTCTCTCTTAAGAGTCTCAGCTATATTCCAGAAATAGTCATTGAACTTGAAGCTATTCGCAATTTGCTGAGAATCTGTTATCTCGCTCCCATTATAGTTAATTTTGTTTATCTTAATTTTGCCTTTTTTCTTTCTGTTTAACAAGTTATTAACCATTTGCCATTGTTTTCTGCTGTCGCTAGAATATTTTGTAAAGTACGCATTTGACCTTATCCACATGTTTAGTCACAAATTTTTTCATTTTCTTGAACCTAATATCATTTTCAGTGGTCGGGTTTGTGCCAAAATCTTCATACAATTTATTTTTGCGATCACATGCGCACCGTAACCATTCTTGGATCCACGGCTTTGTATTTTTACGGCAGCCTGCTTTACTCATTTTTTGCCTTCATTGGAAAATTTCGGTTGTATAGACTATAGTTCACTATATTTTTTCTCGAAAGCCTCAAATTTTTCATCTGCAGAATCATAGTTATTAACTTTTTCGATGGCCCGATAGAGGATTCTATGAAGCCCTACAAAGTAAGTAAGTAACCAAGTTCCAGTCTACGGCAGAAATGTCGTTCTCGAACTTTTTGATGCTGTCTACTTCTAGTCGTCGTCTATTAATCGAGAAGATGTTTCTGTTGTATCTTCTTGAAGTTTACAACTGAGCCTATTCTGATCAACCATAATTGTGACAAAAGTTGCCGAGTGATCAGAGATTGATTCAGAAATTACTCCCCATTTTGTAACAGATCGGAGCAGACATATCTGACGTCACGTCCACCCAGTAGGACCCACTTTCCCTCTGAATTCGGGAGACCAAGTACGTGTCTCTCGAGCGACCCTGAGACTTCTTAAACCTGTACCCGACCCCTCCTACCACAGTCACAGTCTCTATAATCCAACACTCGTCATCACCGTTGCCGTGGGGGGTTCTGTGGACCAGAGCCCTTGCGTCTCCATTAGATTGTTTGTCGCTGTGCACAACCAGCATCTTGCCTATACCAGCAGTAGCACCTTAAAAGGGAACTGTTAATATTACATCGAGATGGCAGGGCCTAGTTGGTGTTGAACACACTGCTCTGATAATAATATCACGCTGTACGTGTAATGTAAATAGTGTGGATATATGCGAATATATAATCTAAAAACTGGAACTGTTAATACTTTAATATAACATTTTACCAAAACTGCCGTTTCCTTATATATTATATAATACTATGATTTGAAGTTTTAGCTGCCATCGGATATTTGTTCAAATATATCATTAACATTGGAATTTGATATTTTTAAATACCAGATTTAGACTTGATGTTGAAGCAGTCTTGACCGTTGTGTTGTGTAAGAATGATCTCCCAGCGAGCACTCTGATCATTGAGTTCGGTATGTACCCAGCGGGAGTGACCGTTTCTCTCATCGTTTGCAGTCAGGAAGTAACCAGAGGCAGGCCCATTCAGTATCTTGATCTCGTACCCATGATTAGGAACTGGAGTGAAACCTGAACCTGTTGAAATTACTTTTAGGTCAGGAAATTGCAGCATATGCGGTATCGCGATTTTTCACGTTCGCATTTTCCTTAAAATCTGAGGACCAAATTTGCGTATTTTCCTTCAAATCTGTGGGCCAAATATTACGTTTTATATAATTAGTATATGAAACCCATCAGTATTACATCAACAACCTTCCGAATGTAGGTACGGACTTCAAAAAACCGACAAAAATATTTTCGGCTCAGAATAATCAGGGTAGCATGAAACATAAACAAAAGTAGTTTTCAAGAAAACTTTTTTAAATTTTGACTTGATTTTCGGGGAATTTTTTCCCCAAAAATTTTTAGAAGCCTAAATTAAAAAGTTGGCCCTTCTTGGCTTCTTGCACAGATTTCATGGGGGGGATGGCCCTTCCCTGCCCCCCCCCCCCCCCTCTCGCTTCCCACACCCCTGTCTTGAACACACTAAACCGCTATTCACTGAGCAGAAAATTATGAACCTGGAGAATCTGCGCATGTACCATACATTTATGGAACTATTCAAAATTCTTAAATTTGATGTCCCCCAGTCGATTAAAGATCTTTTCAAGTTCTGTCCCAGAAATGAAAAACTTCGTCTGATTGTCCCATTACTGATGTTAGATATCTCCCAACAGAACTTTTTGTACACCTCTACGAAAATTTGGAATGATCTCATCCCCTATGTATTCGAAATATGTGATGCTAATGAAGATGGGATGATAATCCCGGGTTCTTCCAAAAATTCAGACTTATCAGCCTCGTCAGGTATTATTAAATCTAACCTTAAAAAGCACTTGCTATCCCTCCAAAATCGAGATGACCCTAATACATGGTAACTAATCTATATTATATCTCAAATTCTACATCCGGTAGGGCTCTGCACACATGATATCTCTCTCTGCCATGAAACATGGCTAACCTTTAAAACTATGATTTAAAACCTAAACCTAAACTAAAACTCAACTGGGCTCTCCTGTGTCACCAAACTAGACCAATAAGCAATTTTAGATTATTATATTTTTCTATATTTGTATAATAAGTATATTGACGTAGTGGATGGTTGAGGGGGTTTCAAGCACAGGTCACTCTCAAATCCTAAAGATAAGCAGTGGCCTTCGGCACTTCAAACCTCTTCAAACCTCCCCTGATTTATTAATTATTGATATTGTTTGATTGTGCCGTAAAAATAAATATTTGTATTATTAGATATTTGTTTTATTAATTGTATTAAATTATATTGTCGGGGGGTCAATTGTCGGGGGGTCAATTGTCGGAGGTTTGGATGATTTATTTGAAACGAACGGACTTTCATAATAATATAAATTCAAATTAAACACATAAGTAACACACTTCAAAATAGATTCGTGTTGGACATTTTGCAAGACCCCAACATTTATGAACAAGTTCGGTATAATGTTAAAAATGATCAGGTGCCGTCTAGCTAGGGTAAAATACTGAATCATGTACTGCACTATATTGTGCCGTCCAGCTATGATCAAATACTGGATCACATACTGCAGTACGTACCGTCTAACTATTTAACAAAAACTCCATCACGTTATCGACCGCATAACATACTGTCTAGCTAGGGTCTAAGTTTCCGGGTTGTTTTGGATCACCCTGTGAATCTGCATTGCCGCCAAATTGATGGTGCGCACAGAACCATTCTACAAAATTGCCGCTGTCAATCCTAGTCCTACTTTCATCTCTTCCTCCCTAGTCTTACACGTTGAAATCTAATTAATAACATAATCAATTATTTCTACATCTGTCTTAAATTTTAGTAAAATTTCATTGAAAGTAATACACTAGTTAGACTTGAAGACATAATGCACTGTACCGCATAGCCATAAGGGTACACGTTTGGAGTTTGGAACTTGGGTACAAGAGAAATTGTGAGAAAGGGGGCAACAACTCTTTGCCCGTATTTCATGTCTAGTTTCTAAACTTTAGCAAGATTTTAATATAGCGTTGTATTAAATTCATTCTTTACATGTATCTAGATTTGCAGTGTCTAAAGTCCATAAAACCTGATATTGCCCTCCGTCAGACTGCTGTTCAAACTAAGACAAGTTCTAGAAGTTTGAGATCAACATTGAACTATTGAAGTATGTATAAATTGTATAATGTGTAAATTACATGACGTATAAATCTTACTATATATAAAGCGAGACGATATATATATATCAGTTATCAGTATTTAGATAAGAGATAAGATAAGAGTACATTTTTAACGGCTTTCAGTTTCTTTTTTAAATTTCAGTTCATCAGATTTTCCCACTGCTTTTAGTTTGTATTTATTCTCAATTGTATATGATTCGTATTTGTTGTAGTTACTTTAATGATATAATTTCTCAGAATTGATGTAAATAAACGATGCAAAGACTTTCGAAGATCTAATCACAACCGCTTTCTTTTATTGTGTAGAAGTCCAGCCATGAAATATATATAGCACTTCTACGCAACACATCTGACACAACGTGGTGATTCTTCTACAGTCTATCAGCTACAAGCTCGGTACACATCAGAATCCCCAGAGCCTCCACGCTCCGTTTGTCATCCGACATCTTTTTATGCGATTTTAGTTTGTTTTCAGTAACATTTATCATTATGAGTCCCCCGATGCCTAAATTAGACAACTTAGCAGTTAGATCAGTTAGGGCATCTTGTCAATTGAGATACTTACAGACTACGAGACACCACGGTAATATCCCTAGAGGTATTGCTACTCAAATCAATTTTAGGTGTGCAGTTAAAGACACTTTTTATGTAGAATCCTGTAAAGCGCTTAATCAGTTACAGAAATCAAGAATGCTAGACTTAGTCATAGATAATCAAGTAATCAGGTCTCAGACTTTGCGTAAAAGCTTTCATAGTTTCAAAAACTGCATCAAATCTGCACTTCCCCCATCAGATCATGAAAATTTAGAGAATCATTTATCTAATTTAATGCACAAGGAGAAACTTGAACTAACCAAGCGTCATGAATCTAAGTTGAAGAGAGATACGGACTATGCTATTTATGTTGCACCTTCATATGTGGATAATGCTAAACCTGTGAAGAAGAGGAGAAGAAGGAAGAGAAAAAAGATTAATCGTACCACATCCCACAGACATCAGAGGACGTTAATCAAAGGTACTCTTCCCAAGGTTGAAGACTTGTCAATGGAAAACATGTCCAGAACAGTTGTAAATCTTACAGACAAAGAGCTTAGTAAAGAGCAACTCTATGTCTTTTTCTTGTCTCACAAGTTTGCACCTACACCTCCCCTACCAGATCTAAGCCGCTTCGAGAACGATCTGTGTAGATGGTTTTCTAAAATGAGAGCTAAAGTTGTATTTGATAGCTTTAAATGTGGACCCAACAAAGCAGATAAGAGAGTTACTGACATGGAACGTTGTCTTATAAAGACTGGTGCATCACGTACTTTCGAATCTTGTAAAAACCCTGCACTTGAGGCATTTATAAAATGCTGCAGAGCAGAAGTAGACCTCCACAGGCCAACTCAGAAATTCGTCTCACCAGATAACATCGCTGCGCCCATCAGAGCAGCTCTCAAAGAAGTCAAAGGTTGGAAAGACATTGTAATCAGACCATTCGATAAAGGAGTAGGATTCTTCCTTCTTAGTGAAGAAGATTATATTCAACGAATAGGTGTACATTTAAATGATAGATCTGTATATAGTATTGTAAATAATGTAGATGATTTAGTTGTAGAATTGATTGATAAAATTTCGAATTGGACAATTGAGTTTAAAGATGAATTAGGTATGACCAAGAAGGTCAAGGAGTGGGTTATTCCATGTACTGAGCTTAACCAGCCTGGAAACATGTACCTGAATCCCAAGGCACACAAACCACCTTTGTATCCTGGGAGGATGATTACCACCGGCTGTGGTTCATACATTGAAAACCTTTCTGCCTTGACTGCGTATGAATTGAAGAAGGCTACTTTGAATTATAGAATTATTGATACCCCTCACTTTCTGAGGAAGATTGATAGCCTGAACGAGTCTAGCATATTGTTGGGAAAGGAGGTTATACATGTTGCCATCGATATATCTAACATGTTTACCAACATTCCTAGGGATATGGGGATCCAACAATGCACTAAGCACCTGAATAAAAGGAGTAGTGGTGATCAATTGTTTAGTACAGAATGCATTATTAGTGCACTAGAAATTACTCTTGATTACAACATTGCTTCATTTAACGGTATAACATACCGCCAGGAGCGTGGAGCAGCGATGGGTCCTAAGAACTCATGTGAGTATGCTGATTGTGCTATGGATAAGATTGATATTTTAGTTAACGAAGGAGATCTAGAATATGGCCCGCCTCATAGACCAGCATTCTGGGGTAGATTACGTGATGACATTTATATGGCTTGGCCCGGTACTGTTGAGGAATTATTACAATTCATGGAATGGCTCAATAGTATCCACCCAAACCTTTTGTTTACTTACGACTACTCTAGGGACGGCGTTGAGTTTCTAGACACCTATGTCTATGCTGTTGGTGATGTTGTCCACACCAAACTCTACTCTAAACCTAGTGACACCCACTGCTACCTTATCCCCACGTCATGCCATAGGAACCATGTTGTAAAAAACATACCTTTTGGAGTGGCGAGGCGGGTGAGACAGAACAACAGTGAAGACACTAACTTCTTGGAGCAGAGAGAGGTCTATACACGTTACCTTCTAGCCCGAGGTTATCATTCCAGTATTATAGAAGATGCCTTTAACAAATTTAGTGATATAGCTAATAGGAAAAACTTGTATACCCTTAAAGACAAGGATGAGTCGACTGCCTGTTTAATACCCATGGTGATGGATCAAAATCCAGCACTTCCCAACATGGGGGGCATTATCCATAAGTATAAGCACCTTCTCAACCTTGATCCGGCCCTGAAGAAGCTGGTACGTGCGGACAGTGTATTCGTGAGTCATCGAAAGAATCAAACTATCGGTGGCATGCTTTTACACAATAAGTACCGTGCCAGTGGAACTTTAAACTGTGATAATGAGAGAGAAACAACTGCAAGCCAGATCCAGGAACCAGACTCCGAAAGTCTAAGGGCGGTTCCCGGGGCTGTCGACCCAGGGTGCCATGCTTGTGGTAAATGTTATGTTTGTAAGCAAAATTTCCTGTCCCCCTGTTCCAATTTTAGTAGTCACCATTCTAAACAAGTTTTCCCTATAACTAAGTATATATCTTGTCAGAGTTATAACCTCATTTATTTAATGGAGTGTAAGACTTGTAAACAGTCGTATGTCGGTTATACTACCTCAAATCTCCCTAAGAGATTCTCTAACCATAAGAGTCACATAAAGAAAGGTATAAGAAGTTGTAAATTAGTTAACCATTTTTTAGATATTGATCATGATTTAGATTTTAGTACCATAGCCTGCTATAATTCCTCACTTAGTAAGCACCTTTCTGTCATTATAGTAGACGCTTTAGTATTTGAGCCTAATATTAGTAAAGCAGACAAAGAAAAGGCTATGGAAGCTAGAGAGGGGTTCTACCAGACCCAATTGAAAACCCTTGAACGGTTTGGGGGTATGAACACCCTTGATAGTAACCATCTACTTTTAAAATCTGCCGGAGCTTAGTTTTAGTTTTAGTATATTTTGTAGATTTTATTTAGTTATACCATTATTCCAGAGACGTGCATATTACATTTTTTACTTAAGTATAAATTTTACACGTTTTTGTTGTGATTTTAAGTGATTTTCCGAGAATCAGTTATCAGTATTTAGATAAGAGATAAGATAAGAGTACATTTTTAACGGCTTTCAGTTTCTTTTTTAAATTTCAGTTCATCAGATTTTCCCACTGCTTTTAGTTTGTATTTATTCTCAATTGTATATGATTCGTATTTGTTGTAGTTACTTTAATGATATAATTTCTCAGAATTGATGTAAATAAACGATGCAAAGACTTTCGAAGATCTAATCACAACCGCTTTCTTTTATTGTGTAGAAGTCCAGCCATGAAATATATATATATATATATAATAAATAGTTGTTGTTTGGTTTCCCAAAGAGAGTGCTCGACTGCAGTTAAGCAGGAGCATTATAATTCGAACAATTGAAACAAATCAAATTGGCGGGCAAACGATCCGCTTCATGATATGTATAAAAACAATACCAATCATCAGTGCCAAATAGAATAATGAATTGTAGCGTTATGACATGTTGCTCCTTTATAAAATAATTTTTATCGATCATGAAACATTTTCAAAATTATCAAAATTTACAAAATTTCCAAAAAAACAGTTTATTGTGTCCGTCCCAATTTTAAAATTGTCTATGAAGTAAGGTAGTAAGATATCTTTGGCTTTTAAAATTGTAAACTTCGTTGGCCTTCGTGTAGTGGTAGAGGAAAATTCTTTACTGAGTTCCGTGAAGCTGGTAGAATTAGGATCCGTATTTGAGAGTTAATTAATACTCTCAAATACGGATCCTAATTCTACCAGCTTCACGGAACTCAGTAAAGAATTTTTCTCTACCACTACACGAAGGCCAACGAAGTTTACAATTTTAAAAGCCAAAGATATCTTACTACCTTACTTCATAGACAATTTTAAAATTGGGACGGACACAATAAACTGTTTTTTTGGAAATTTTGTAAATTTTGATAATTTTGAAAATGTTTCATGATCGATAAAAATTATTTTATAAAGGAGCAACATGTCATAACGCTACAATTCATTATTCTATTTGGCACTGATGATTGGTATTGTTTTTATACATATCATGAAACGGATCGTTTGCCCGCCAATTTGATTTGTTTCAATTGTTCGAATTATAATGCTCCTGCTTAACTGCAGTCGAGCACTCTCTTTGGGAAACCAAACAACAACTATTTATTAGTTATGCTCCTTCGACTCGTCGTTGTTGAGCACTCTCGCTCTCGTTTGATAACCAGAATCAACAATTAACTCTCAAATACGGATCCTAATTCTACCAGCTTCACGGAACTCAGTAAAGAATTTTCCTCTACCACTACACGAAGGCCAACGAAGTTTACAATTTTAAAAGCCAAAGATATCTTACTACCTTACTTCATAGACAATTTTAAAATTGGGACGGACACAATAAACTGTTTTTTTGGAAATTTTGTAAATTTTGATAATTTTGAAAATGTTTCATGATCGATAAAAATTATTTTATAAAGGAGCAACATGTCATAACGCTACAATTCATTATTCTATTTGGCACTGATGATTGGTATTGTTTTTATACATATCATGAAACGGATCGTTTGCCCGCCAATTTGATTTGTTTCAATTTTTCGAATTATATATATATATATTTATTTATCCGCATCATTTTACTGACACCACGGCATCAACTTTAACACGGGTTTCCGCAAAAACCGTACAAGATATAAAACTGAAACTTTTTTAACTGATTCAAATGCTTTAATGGCCTTCAAATCAGCATGAAAAAATCGAAAATCGGTCAAGGAATAAGAATTTTAGTACCCAAAATTTGGACCCCCAAGTGGTGTCAAAAACGCGAATTAAATAGGTAATAATTATTTTTACTGGGAGACTTTAGGGTAGGAAACTGATCCGGCCACCAAAGAGCCTTGACACCAGTCTTAAAGGTTTGACGGGTTCCTGCTAGTTAATATAAAGAAGACCTCGTTCTTTGAACTTTTGAATGACTTAAAAACATTTGATCATTCAATTTTGTTACTGAGATATAGAGGGATTCGGAATTGTCTCTTTAATCTTATTAGTGCTATCAATAATATTCAGATTTTGTTACAGGTTAACTGCAGGTAACGACTGGCAACAGGAAATACAGCTTGATCAGACTTAAGTATGCTTCATGATGAACAACGAAAGTCATCAAACTTGGTTAAATGTTATAAATATGTACGATTGGACATTCCTTCTACTTAATGCTACACGCCATATATTATTTTGTAATTGAACTGTGAACACAATCTCAACCCTTCCAATAACTGAATAATGATAGGATTTGACTTCAACCAGTAAAAATATTACAACTATAACATAACCCAAGGTAGGTACAGTGAGTTCAGAGTTGCATATACATAAGATGTTTCAGGGAGCCCGGCGTTTAATATGCAATTTTTAAACACCATCTATGATAGCTGCACTGAAAGTATTTTGGCGTCTTGTCAGAAATTTAGACGAGTAACATCCGTCAAATAATTGTTTAAACATTCTTAAAATCTACCGGAAAGGTTTCCTACCTTGCTCCTTCATAAAAATATTCGCTATTGAAGCTGGTTCTTTTTTGAAGAATAATTTTATAAAAACATTTAAAAAAATAAAAAAAACATATTGTTGTTGTTGTGTTGTTGAAGGCTAGTTTCGAAGTTGAAAATCAAAAAGTTGCACATGTGAGGACACGCCCAAATCTTTTTAATCTATTACAATCGTCCGATTTCATTCTCGGTATAATCAATTTGTATTTGCGGACGGTAATTATTCGAATTAATATCATTTCCTTTTGTTTGGGAGAGAGAGACACTGTTTGGGAGAGCGAGACATGATTATGGGTTTTGGTCAAATAAATACTGACAAATTTATATATCCTACCTGGTACGATAAGTCCGTTACACAAGTCATCGTTGCATTTTTCAATTGCACAGGCATAAGCCTTCAAATCGTCCAAAGCATCTTCAAATTCAGATTTGAATCCCATACATTCATCCAATTCTGATGACTCATCTGCCGTCGTCATACATTGATAACTTTTCATATAGCTGAACTTGCTACCCTCATAGAATGTCGTGGCACGAGATGCGCACACGTCTTTCCCGGCCGCACACTGAGAAAAGACAATTTTAATTTTATTATTTACCACCAATTTATCACATATAAATCAATCAATAAATATACATTCGAATAAATAAAACCCAACTAAATTTTGGCCCTAGATGCTTAGATGGTAACATACTAGGGGTCGTTCACATATAACGTAATCACTTTTTTGACCATCCCCCCACCCTTCCGTAATCAGTTTTACACATAGCTATTGTATCAAGATTACACTAGCGTAATCATTTGGAAACCACCTTCCCCTCGGCTGATTACGTAATATGTGAACGACCTCCTATTATAAATAGAATTGAATGGAATAAATTCATACGCTAGCAGCTAGCTGGCTATACCTGTTGAACGCTGTATTTGGTACAGGTATTTTCAACCCCTGATTTCAAATTTGCGTCCTGGCATTTGTAACAGTTAAGCGATTGAGCTCGTGCCACCATTGCCACTATTATAGCTATTGCTATATTCATTTTAGCTTCTTTGCTTTAGGCTACTGTAGATATATTGTCAATAAATGTCAGTTTTTTTAGTAGTGGAACAGCAATACTAAGGTAATGGGACTTTTGTCAGTTTTGATATTGAAAAAACAGGACTCTAACAATCAGGCGTCAAAAATTTCCATCCCGACCTAGGATACACCCGATGAAATGTAACTCAACGCAATGAAAACAACCGATGATACGATGATGAGGACTTGCACGTGCAGACCACAGACAAAGACGAAGTTTCATTTTCACTCAATAAATCAAACCGGTTAAGTGAATAAGGAGTAGGATCGTTAAAACTGTGCAGGGATTATTTACAAAATAACACCGCAACTTATTTTCTATCCCGTTTCTTAGCAGTATCCCAGAAGGTTTATAGCAGCCTACAAAAGCTACAATCAGACACTAAGCTCAGCTACAACAACAACAAAACATACCTTACCCTTTAATCCAAATTTATAAACTGCAGTACGCAGTGAGTAGCCGAGGTGCCGTGCAGCTCTATCCGCATTATCTTCAATGATTAAAGGTATCTATAAAATATAACTTATTGTTCCATTGAAAACTTATTGTTTCATTGGATTGTTTCACAATAGAGTCTGAGGTCAGCTGAGCACCAACTTAAAGGACCAAAACATCAATCAGACGGCAGAAGAAATTCCGGCAAAGTCAACCAACAAATGGACATCCAACACTATCTTTTCCAGAGGTTGAGTTGAGAAGTCAGTACTAGAATTTGACGGCCTAAAAGCCAGTGGACCTGACGGTCTACGCCCTTAACGCCCTATAATGCTACAGAAGGGACTACCATTCATAGGCGATGCTTTCACAAAACTAGCAAAGGCAAGCTTCCAAAGTGGATATGTTCCTGATAGCTGGCGCAACTTGACAGGCATTTTCCTACCAAAACCAGGGAAAACTGAATATTATAACCCTAAATCCTACAGAACCATCACTCTGGCTTCAGTACCACTCAAGTGGATGGAACGAATAGTGTTATGGCATATGGAGAAAGACCTTAAGATATACTCAAAACTTAATAAAAATCAATACGGTTTTGTACAAGGTGCCTCAACTGAGACAGCTCTACACAAAATAGTACACAAAATAGAACGGACAATCATAAGCTCCGGTGTGGCTCTAGGAACTTTCTTAGATGTCGAAGGGGCCTTCGACAATGTAGCATTCAAGTCTATAGAGAAGGCCCTGAACCGGAAATGTGAGTCGTCTTCAGTCAACAGATGGACTATGTCTCTACTCCGCAATAGAACCACGAACATGGAACTAAACGGATGCAGGAAATTCATTTTTATAAGAAAAGGATGTCCGTAAGGTGGAATCCTGTCTCCATTCTTATGGAACCTGGTAGTTGACAGTCTCCTGTCGTACACCAGAGACAAGATCCCATGTGAACTGCAAGGGTTCGCGGACGATCTTGCATTATTAGCCACGTTAGATGGACCGGCAAAATGTGGAAACCAGGGCTTTTATGCCGATCATCTCAGAGAGATGACGCAGAAAAGTCTTGAATGAGTTGAAGCCATCATGAACTGCAGTGCACTGATAACGGGCTGAAGGTAAGTACTCTTAAAACACATACAGTAATGTTCACCTGGAGGTAATGGGAAATCTCAGAACCTCTAACAGTTAACGGAACTGAAATAAGCATGCGTAATTCAACTAAGTTTCTAGGAGTAACACTCGATAGCAAACTCACGTGGAATGAACACATCAAAAGTCAGTGTAAAAAAGCCAAAGGCATACTCATGCAATGCAGGAGAGCCATTGGACCAACATGGGGGTTCACCCCCAAGACCATGAAATGGATATATACAGCTGTGGTCAGACCTTCCCTGACATACGCTGCGAGAATCTGGCTCAATTGTGTATCCAAAAAACATAACTTAACAATCCTAAGCAGCGTACATCGGCTAGGAAATATTCTCATAACAGGAGGGTTACCATCAACTCCTGGAGCAGCTCTAGACATCATCACCGGAATCATCCCCATCGACCTGGTGATAGAAGAGGAAGCAGCAAAAGGAGCTCTCAGACTCAAATCCAACAACCACTGGATATATGAGCCGATGGCTAACAAGAAGAGCAACTTAACCACCCACAAAAAACTTAACAAACAGTTACTAAAGGCTATCAAACTCAATTCTGAAGGACAAGATCAACAGACTACATCACTGAATGTTGACATTGGTTTTACCACAGAAATTCCACGACTCTCAGAGTATGAGGAAATTGAGAACGATACCAACACCATACCTTATCGGACCTTATTTGGACGGAAATTACATGAACGGACATAATTATGAACGGACATTAATGTGAACGCTCGAAGGCATTCAAAACCATCAAAAATCCGAATTTTTTTTTGACGTTTTTTTGACGTTTTTTAAATTTCAGCAAATGATTTTTAAATCCATTTTTTATACAGTTAGTAAGAAAAGCAGTCATTAAGCAGTAAAAATGTTTAAAAATGTGTACTTGATCAGTGTCTAATATCACATATCATCTTCATCAAATGGGTTTTCGTGCATGAAATAGTCCATGCTTAAAACATCAGTGATTTCTAGCTTTATGGAAACCTTTTTTTATCAAACTACCCCGGTCCTGCATTTCAGTGTTAACTTTTACAAGCCATTCGGCGTGAAGTGGTTTTATCTTAGACAACTTAACCCATTAGGGACGATAGGGTCGTTTTTATAACCCACCTTTTCTAGACGAAAAACCAAATTACTAAACGCTATAACGAATCTATAGCATATATGCTCAAAATTTATTGGGCTACATATAATGAAGCCCAATAAATTTTGAGTATATATGCTATAGATTCGTTATAGCGTTTAGTAATTTGGTTTTTCGTCTAGAAAAGGTGGGTCATAAAAACGACCCTATCGTCCCTAATGGGTTAAGGTTAACCTTAACATCACGTGGAGCTTTCCTAGCACTGTTTCATTACCGCCCCCGTCCCCTGAGTAATATGAACTATAACAACGTCGGACAGTGTCCTCGTAACACGAATACCCCATTTGCAGAGGAAACAGATAGCTAGATAGGTGCGATGTGCTGTGTACAATAAAATAAGATTGAGATGCCCACAATTGTGGTTGAGGTCAAAATGTTTTCATGACATCACATCGGAGAGAAAAATTATTTTTATTATCAACAGTTGATGAAAAACAAAAGAGGGCACACGTAAATGAACCTTGGCAAATGAATAACTACCGTCAAGCTGGATCGTGATCCCTCAACAGATTGAAATTGTGTCACCTTAGTCACGATTAGATGTATTATAAGATTATAGTTATAGTTATAGTTAGAAACTCTATTTAGAAACGCTGCGTGTATAAGTTAGAACTTATACACGCAGCGTGTTGGAATCCAATGATGTAAAGTTCCGATATTGAATACTCTGCCTCAATTATAATCATCGCCAGCTCAACACGCCTAGTTATCTGTCTGCAATCTTATCGTTAAACTTTCAGTGTGTCTAATATCACATATCATCTTCATCAAATGGGTTTTCGTGCATGAAATAGTCCATGCTTAAAACATCAGTGATTTCTAGCTTTATGGAAACCTTTTTTTATCAAACTACCCCGGTCCTGCATTTCAGTGTTAACTTTTACAAGCCATTCGGCGTGAAGTGGTTTTATCTTAGACAACTTAAGGTTAACCTTAACATCACGTGGAGCTTTCCTAGCACTGTTTCATTACCGCCCCCGTCCCCTGAGTAATATGAACTATAACAACGTTGGACAGTGTCCTTGGCAACACGATTTACCCATAATATCTAGAGGCTGGAACAAGTTTGTCATGTTGGCGGGGACTAGTTCATGAACTATGTTGTTGAGTGCCATAATTTCGTTGACTTTTTTCCGTCAAGTGACCCTTGAAAAAATCATATACTAGTAGTAGTAGTAGTAGAGTTTTCTGTGCCTCCGGCAGACCAAGGAGAACCTTTTCGTCGTTAACTTACGGCACAATAAAGTTTTCAAAGTTGTCATATTCTGGACAAAAAGTTCGAAATGGAAAAATTTTTGAAAAAATTTCAACGGACTTTAACTTGGACGGACATTAATTGAACGGACTTTATTTGAACGGACATTAAAATGAACGCTAGGGCCTCCAGCGTTCAAGTAATGTCCGTCCAAATAAGGTCCGATAAGGTATACACAATGCTACACAAACGGCTCCAAAATGAATGAACAAGTTGGAGCAGGAGTGTACATTGTGGATAACGACACCCCTCTTATACGCGAGGAGTCCTAACACCTAGGGACCAACTGAACCGTCTTCCAGGCCGAGACCTTTGCCGTAGGCACTAGGCACAGCGGCAAAAATACTACGGGAATCTGGAACCAAAACTATGGCTCTGACTACTTGGATTCCGCCCAAGTGCAACTACCAATACCAAAAGTATTATGGAAGGGAGCGCTGCAGAGTATAAGTCATCGGAAAATGAGGGAAAGATGAAGAATGTTGCCCAACACTCACTTCAAACGAGTATGGAGACATAAGTTCGCCTGCAGATCAATCCCGAAACTTGGCAAAGAGAGCACAAGAACAGCGACACAAATCCTTACTGGACATTGTGAACTAAACTACCACGTTAATAAGCCGACAACGGTCCCCAAAACTTGGCCATACTGTCTCATGGAAGAGGAGACAATGAACCACTTTATTGGTCAGTGCCCAGGGACAAAAGAAAATCGCGATTATTTTGGCCAAAAATCGCGATACCACGACAAGCCAAACAAGCAACATTAGATCGACGACATATAAAATTTGTCGCAAAAAATGGGAAAAATCGCGATTCCGTACATGCCGCGATTTCCTTTTGTCCCTGTCAGTGCCCGAAATGGTCTTACCAACGAGGAGGATACTTTGACTCCTTTCATCTTAGTGTGACAGACATAGTGGACAAGTTCTCACTACCAAGGATCATCGGCTTCATACAAGCAACAAAACGATTTACCAAATGCAGAGAAA